TTACTTTCCACACATATCCCCCAAAGTGGCAGCTAGATGAATGAAAAAGGACTGATGTCTCCAGTGTGAGCTCAGTGGTTATCTGCTGTACTCTGCTCGCTGAAAGGCGAATCAACACATGTGTAGATCCAAGCCAGCCACAGGGTATAATTATGGAAAGTGAAAGGAGATGAGTGTCACTGGGAAAGTTTATAGGACATGTGGTAGAAATTAAACACGTTTTCTAGGTGATGGAAGGGAAAACACAGGACGTATGTTGGTGCATGGTGGTATGCTCAGGGGACCTGAATGTGAACTGGGGCAATGGTGGTGCAAGAGCTGGCTTATTCTACAAGCAAGTTTATATAACAAGTCCACAGGAAGCCAGACTTCAGTAGTTCTGTCCTTTTATCCGGTAATAGCTTTATGATTCTCCTACTCCTCTTCTGAATGGGAAGAAAAAACCCCAAACCCTAAACAATAAAAAGGCAAGAACTTTAAATTTTTAAGTGATGTTCCAGCATTCACCAAACAGATCGAAGCTCTAGTACCAACCCTGGCTAGCTCTACTCGTACAGATCACGGATACTTTTTTCACGATCAGCTACAATCGGGGCTGGGGGAGGCCAGGTAAAAATGGCCATTTTCGGGGCAGGAACTCAGATGACCTACTTCAGCCCGTCTGCCCGCACGCCCAGCCCCGCTCCGCTGTGAGCAGAGCCCGCAGGCCGAGCTCCCCGGCAAGCGGGGCTGCAGGCCCGGGGTCCGCGACGCGCGGCCGCAGGAGCCCGAGGGGCAACCCAAACCCTAAACAATAAAAAGGCAAGAACTTTAAATTTTTAAGTGATGTTCCAGCATTCACCAAACAGATCGAAGCTCTAGTACCAACCCTGGCTAGCGCTACTCGTACAGATCACGGATACTTTTTTCACGATCAGCTACAATCGGGGCTGGGGGAGGCCAGGTAAAAATGGCCATTTTCGGGGCAGGAACTCAGATGACCTACTTCAGCCCGTCTGCCCGCACGCCCAGCCCCGCTCCGCTGTGAGCAGAGCCCGCAGGCCGAGCTCCCCGGCAAGCGGGGCTGCAGGCCCGGGGTCCGCGACGTGCGGCCGCACGGCCCCGCCGGCATTCGCTGCGGCCGTGCCCGATCCCCGCTCCTGCCCGCCCGCTCCCCGCCTGCGGGCAGCCGGCCCGCCGTGCCCCAGCGCGGGCAGGAGGGTCCCTGAGGGCAGGAGGGCGCCCGGGCCGCCCTCACGGGGCGGGAGGGCCCGGGGATCCTTCACCCACCTCTCGGCAGCGGCGGCGCTGAGGACGCGGCTCCTCCCGCTGGAGCGGCGGAGAGGGGCCCTGGCTCCGTGTACCATGCAGCCGGGGGCGGCGGAGGGAGGCGCCGGGGGGCTGCGGAGAGGGGCAATGGCTGAGGCGAAGCCGGGAGGAGGAGGAGAAGGAGGCGGAGGAAGAAGGGGGGATCCTGGGCTCCCTCCTCCCCGCCGTCCGCGCTCGGGGAGGAGGTGGGAGCCGCCCCCGCCGCGCCGCCCGGGCACCGGCGCTCCCGGCCCGGCCTCGCCCCCGGGGTCCCCGCCGCCCTCAGGCTGGAGAAAGCGAGAAGCAGCATCTGCGTCCGGCCGCGAGGACGCGCGTCCACACGCGTCCGCTCTCAGAGGGTCGCGGTTGCGCTGCTCTCTCCCACCCGCCGCCTCCGGGCTGCGGCCAGTCTCTCCCAATGGCCTCGGGGCTGCCCGGTGTAGCCCGGGCTGCAGCAGTGCCCGCTCGGTGCCGGCGGAGCCCCTCCCCGGACAGCGGCCAGCCCCGGGAACTGGGTCAGCGGAGCCGCAGGGTCAGGACCGGCAGCCCTTGAGCACTGGGAGCACGGCCCTGAATGGGATGAGCAGGGCTCTGCCTTAGCACAAACATCACCCCCTGGCTTTTGCTGTTTTGCCTTTGCCGGGCAAACTCGGATTTTATTGTAAGAGATGAAATAACCTACGTGGACCTTTGGTTTGCCGCTACCACCCCCAAACCATTTGCTACCCTTCCATGTCACTCTCTGCTTTAAATAGTAGGCCACAGGCTGCCATGCTCTCCCTGTTTACTGCTGTTCCCATCCCCTCCACAGCCTATTTTCAGTCTCTCATTACCCCTCCCTCCCCATTCTTGTTTTGTAAAGCAAGTGTACCTTCTATACCTGCCACCCCGGAGCTGAATGTCTTTCCCACCTTTCCTGGCTTCACACAATGAACCAGCTATTCCATGCTGTGCCTCAAAAGACTTCCCAATGCTATTCCCACTGTGCTCAATTGCCCACCTGCTGCTCCCTCTGCTACAATCAGCTTCCCATTCACCCTTCATCCCGATGGCCAGACCTTTACAACTCCCTACTATTCCATCTCCTTCACTCATGCAGTAAATTTGCCCCGTTTCCCCAGTCACTGTTTTAAAACGTGTTCCTTGTGCACATTTGGTGAAAAACCTGGCCTTTACAGACTGACCCTGCCAAGACAGCAGGTGTTCCTGCCACCCTTGTCTCAAAGGAGAGAGAGAGATTCCCCCCCTTTTCCATAAGGGACATCTCCTGCTGCAGCAAGCATGTACCCACCCATATGTAATGCTTCAACAAAGAAAAATGAGTAGAAACTAAGTTTATCACATATAGAAACGATACAACCACAGCTTCATGCATCTTTCTGCACCCCTCAGACTTTTGACCTTCGAAGGTCAGCAAGGGTGGAAAAAGCTAAGCAAGACTTTTATGTTTTACCTGACTGTCATTTTGCTGTCTGCAGTTTGTGTCAAGCTGAGGTGCAAGATGATCTTCAGGTCTCTCCTACACAGTGTAAGAGAAGAGGACCTCAAACCTAGCCACAAAACAAAACCACAACAGCTTTGACATTTAAAACAGCTCAACATTTCAAAGCACAAAAAACCCTCCCATCCCCTTCTCCTTCACACTGAACAATTTGCTTCTACCAAAAAATCAAAATATGTCAATGTCTCAGTTCGAGTCTCCTAAATAAAATTAAATAATTAAATTTAGGCCTCTGACAATGACCATGGTATTAAGATTACCTTACTGAATTTTAATTTAAATTGGGATTTGGGTTGATTTAGGCATCTGTACGAAATCAGTGGCTAAACAGTTACCACTGGCTTAAATGAGACTTTTGCAATTAATACAATTCTGGATGTAGTTTTTTGAGCAGTATTAATACACTAGTTACAATTTAATTAATTCCTAATATTTTTAAACTTTATTTAATTCATACATATGCATGTCCAATACACATATCTTGACATATGACATAATGTCAACTCCCAGAAATGTTCTTATCTATTTCAGTTGGGGTTGTTCAGCACGGGCAAGAGAAGGCTCTGAGGAAACCTTATAGAAGCTTTTGGTGCTCAAAGGGGGCCCAAAAGAAGGCTAGAAAATGGACTTTTCACAAGGGCATGTAGTAACAGAACAAGAGGGAATGGCTTTAAACTGGAAGAGAGCAGGTTTAAAATAGGTGCTAGGAAGAGATTCTTTACTGTAAGGGTGGTGAAGCACTGGCACAGGTTTCCCAGAGAAGCTGTGGATGCCCCATCCCTGGAAGTGTTCAAGGACAGGCTGGATGGGGCTCTGAGCAACCTGGGATAGTGAGAGGTGTTTCTGCCCATGGCAGGAAGATTTGAACTCAATGATCTTTGAGGTCCCTTACAACCTAAACCATTCTATGATTCTACAATAATTAGACATTTGCAGACTTTAGGCTTTTCTGGGCTTTCTTTATACTACAAACATTTCCAAATAAGTGAATCAAAATAGCAAGAGTACTTCAGAATATGTAAAATGTACAATCTCATTGTTAAAATAGAAGCAACAGTTTGTGTATTTTTTTAATATTTCTGACAGGGTGTTTGGCAAGGATTAAGTCCTTTTTAAAGGCTGTTTCAAATGTGACAAAAACTATTTCCATAATTTTAAACACACTGCACTGCATTTATTGCATAATTTAAACAGCTAAGTAACTACAGAGTCCAGTATTTTCAGTTCATTTTCATAAAAGAGGGATTATACATGTGTGAACATCGAGGCAACTACAACCAAGTATTGCATCATGTTCCCACTGCACCTCATGTATCTCAGTTGTTTTTCCCAGAAGTGAGACATTCAATACAAAATTCAAAACACCATTTGGCCTGACTAAAGATTAGATATGAAAATTTATTTTCCAGACCAACGTATGACATGGTTGGGTTGCAAGACAAAATACACTTTGTCATTGGCAAAACCATTATAGATACTGGAAGGTTTCTTACAATGTGCTCCTGTTAATTTCTTCAGATCAAGAACACTGGCAATGTGTTTGCTCTAGGTATATCCAGCAGAACTCACTCCCAGCTCTTGTATCAGGAAAGCATGGAAATAGTAGCACTGGTGTGAGTGGGAGGTGACAACCACGGCTAAACCAGGCACACCAGTTTCACACGGGTTTCCATCATCGCAGTTCAGTCACCTGGCTGTCTGCCCCAAACCTGCTTTTTTTGACCTGCAAAGCCAGGCTAAGTCTGAGAACAAAGGTGTTTTCCAACAGACAAAGCCACTGCTGTTGGCACAACACACACATTTGACATAACTGGTTACCTGCACTGAACCTGCTTCCCTGACCACGAGGAAATACTACCAGCAACATCTCCCATGCCTGTAAGAGGTTCCCATGAAGAAGTCTGCTTGATTTCCCACAGGGAAGGGTTGGGAATTTGGCCTTTACTCTCTGGTGAACCTCTGAACTGGCTTTCATCACTGGATTAGGGATTTTGTTTTCCAGACCAATGTATGACATGACTGGCTTGCAAGACAAAACACATTTTTGTAATACCATAAATTTGAGGTATTTGTCTACAGCAAGCTTGAGGAGTTTGCTACCAGCCCTGTCCTGGTTGGTTTGCCAAGAAAATTTTCTGGACTGTTAGCAATTCATACAGCATTTACACCATACCCAACTCTGCAAACAGCAGGTGTGTGCTGGGATTTTTACCTGTTTCGCACAAAACATTCGGGTGGTTCGTACGCGGGGGCAGCTCTCGCATCCACACGCTTTCCCTGACAATGAGCGCCCGGTCTACAACGACAGTAACGGGAGAGAAGGCTGGAATCAGCCAGATCGCCTCACGGCCGGCGGAGGTTACGGTCCGGTGAGCTGCGGCACACACCGACCCCGAGCCCCGGCGCTCCGCCGCTGCCCTCGGGCCCCGCGCCGCGGCACCCGCACACCCACACAGCGACAGACCCCGAGCGCGGCACCGGCGTGCGCGGCACCGGGCGCGCTCCCTGCCCGCAGCCTCGGCAATGCTCGGCAATGCTCGGCAAAGCTCGGCAATGTTCGGCACCGCTCGGCCCTGCGCGCTCCCGGCGGGCTCCGGCACGGCCGAGCCGCGCGCGACCCCGCCGCAGGCCCCGGTTGCATCACCCGGCGTGAGGGCGACAGCGGGTCCTTCACAGGGCTGCCCCGTGGCGCGCCTGACTCGTGGCCGCCCCGCCGCGGGGCCGATGGCTGCCTCCGGGCGGTGATTGCGGTTTTTCCTTGAGCTCGGTGTCCGCTCCCGGGCCGGCCGGTGCCGCGCCGTGGGCCGGAGGCTGCGGGGCGGTAGCGGCAGTGCCGAGAGGAGCCGGCGGTCAGGCGGCCGCGCGGGACTCCTCGCTTCCCACTCGGGCCAAGATGGCGGGGGACGAGGCGGGAGTGACTCTGGGGCAGCCGCACCTCAGCCGCCAGGATCTCGCCACCTTGGTGAGCGCCGCCCGCGGGGCGCCCCGCGGCGACATCGGGCTGCCGGGGCTCGGCGGGCGCGCCCCGGGAGCGGAGGGGGCGGC